GGAGTTGAAGCTAGGCAACATGATCTACCTGCATAATGTCATCGTGGCTGATATAATGGACGACTGCATCCTGGGCCTAGACTTTATGAGGAAGAATTGTTGTGAGATCGACGTTAAGCAAGGTGTTTTGAAATGTGGACAAGAGGAACTTTTCGTGGAAGGGACGTTACCAGGGAATGTGTACAGCCTTAAGAAGATTGTTCTTCCGCCGAGATCGGAAACGATTGTGCCGGTTAGACTTCCACGGAATCCTGGGCAAACTCTTCGTTGTGTACTCGTGGAAAGGGTAGACAATGACCTTCCATGGAAAGTGGCTCGAACCTTGGTCAGAACCGCCGACATCTCAGGAGTACGTGTGCTGAACCTTTGTGATCAGGAACAGATTATAGAAAAAGGCACATTGGTTGGTACTAGTGAGGAAGTGGATTGGTTGCGTCGGTGCGAATATCTATCGACTGGGACCCCCAGCAAGGCTGGACAAACTAGAGTGACCACACTTTTAGAAGACTGTCGCAGCGTTCTCTCCTCGAATGAAACGGTCAAAGCGAAGAAGTTGTTACTCAAGCACGCCAATGTTTTCTCGTCAAACGAAGCTGACATAGGAAAGACTGGCTTAGTTCAACACAAAATAAACACAGGACAAGAATTGCCTATTCTTCAGCGGCCAAGAAGATTGCCTGTAGCACGTGAAAAGGAAGTGGAAACCATGATTCAGGGAATGGTGAAGGATGGTGTTATTGAACCTTCATCTAGTCCATGGTGTTCACCTGTGGAGATAAAGAAGAAGGACGGCAGCATGCGGTTTTGTGTTGACTACCGCCACCTGAACGACGTTACGAAGAAGGACAGCTATCCCTTGCCAAGAATTGATGACACGCTGGACATGCTTACAGGCGTAAAGTGGTTTAGTACGCTGCATCTGAAAAGTGGCTACTGGCAGGTTGAAATTGACCCTAAGGACAAGGAGAAAACTGCATTCTCCACAGGAAAGGGCCTGTGGCAATTTAAAGTCATGCCGTTTGGATTGTGCAATGCTCTAGCAACGTTTGAAAGGTTGATGGAGCTTGTACTTACCGGGCTAATTGGAGATGCCTGTCTCGTCTATTTGGATGACATCATCATCGTAGGCCGTACGTTTGAGGAACACCTTCAAAACCTGGAACGCGTGCTCATGAAGATCCAGAGTGCCAACCTCAAGTTGAGTCCAAAGAAGTGCTCACTATTCAAACGGCAAGTTAGTTTTTTGTGGTATGTAGTGTCGGAAGAAGGTATCCGCACGGATCCAGAGAAAATTGCTGCTGTCAAGGAGTGGCCGGTCACAAAAGACAAGATACAGGTTAGAGCATTTTTGGGTTTGTGCTCTTATTATCGGCGATTTGTGAAGAACTTTGCAGATATAGCCAAACCTCTGCACAAGCTAACCGAGGAGAAGCGACAATTCTGCTGGGATGAAAGTTGCGATATTGCATTCCAGGAGCTCAAGAACCGTCTGTGCAAAACACCTATTTTGGGTTACCCTGATGCGGGCAAGGAATTCATAGTTGACACAGACGCAAGTGATATAGGACTTGGCGGTGTGTTGTTTCAACGGAATGGTGATCAAGAGATTGTGATAGCGTACTTCAGCAAGTCGTTGACAAAGCCGGAAAGGAACTATTGTGTCACAAGACGGGAATTGCTTGCTGTGGTAAAGTCCTTGCAGCATTTTAGCAAATATCTTCTAGGGCGGAAATTCCACTTACGAACTGACCATGCTGCACTCAAATGGCTATTGCAGTTCAAAAATCCGGAAGGACAAGTTGTGAGATGGATTGAACTACTGCAGGAATACGACTTTGTGATCGAACATCGCAGCGGGAAATCTCATGGCAATGCAGATGCATTGTCAAGAAGACCTTGCCCTGAAGATTGCAAGCATTGTACTAGGCAAGAGGGTAAGGAAGTGGTATCTGCGAGAATGCTCAGGACAGACCAGCTCAGCAATGAGTGGAAGGACAGCCTACAACATGCACAGCAGGAAGATTCGGACATTAAGCCGATTCTGGAATGGATGAAGGCCAGTGCTCCTAAGCCCAAGTGGAGTGACGTCTCAGCAATGAGTTCGACCACGAAAAGCTATTGGGCCCAATGGGACAGCTTGCTGATTCAGGATGGAGTCCTGTGCCGTAAATGGGAAAATGGTCGGGGAGACAGTTGTCATTTGCAAATGGTTGTCCCTAAGGCTAAAGTACCGGATGTTCTACAGCTGTACCATAGTGGTTGTTCAGGAGGCCACCTGGGAGTTAAACGAACTCTACTGAAAATCCGAGAACGGTTTTACTGGGTCCACTGTCGTGACGATGTCGAGGACTGGTGCCGCAAATGTACAAGTTGTGCGGCTGTAAAGGGACCTCAAATTCGTAGTAGAGGCGCATTGAAATTGTACAATGTTGGTGCACCATGGGAGAGGATAGCCATTGACGTTGCGGGGCCGTTTCCGGAAAGTGAAAGTGGTAACAAGTATTTCATGGTTGTGATGGATTACTTCACTAAGTGGCCAGAAGTCTTCGCCATTCCAAATCAAGAAGCTTCAACAATTGCATATAAACTAGTTCATGAAGTCTTCTGTCGTTTTGGAGTACCTTTAGAGATTCACAGCGATCAAGGAAGGAATTTCGAGTCTCAAATATTCCAGGAAACTTGCAGAGTTATGGGTACTCATAAAACACGAACAACTTCTTACCACCCACAATCTGATGGAATGGTAGAACGATTTAATCAGACATTGGAAAGGTACCTGGCAAAAGTTGTGGAAAAACGGCAACGAGACTGGGACAGGCACATACAACCGTTTTTGTTGTCATATCGAAGCGCTGTTCACGAAAGTACGTCAGTGACGCCAGCTTTCGCAAACTTTGGGAGAGAATTACGGCTGCCTGCAGACCTGATCACCGGAATACCACCTGATGCCCCACGCAGTATAACCGATTATGCAAATGACTTGCGGAACAAAATGAATGACATTTATGAGCACGTCAGACAGACGGGCCAGCAAACGTCTGAGAAGATGAAAACACGGTATGACCGCAAAATGAACAACAAGGGGTTTGATGAAGGTTCACTAGTGTGGTTACACAATCCAGTTCGCAGCAAAGGGAAATCTCCTAAGCTTCAAGCTAGATGGGACGGACCGTACCGGATTGTGACAAGGATCAATGATGTAACCTACCGGATACAGAAAGGTGCCAGAGGTACTCCTAAGATTGTCCATGTGGATCGACTGGCGCGTTATTATGGGGCCAATAATGCTCGGGACGAGCATGTCTTAGGAGGGGGCAGTGTTGCCCGCCACTATTAATGTCTTGTACATGGCAACACTAGTTACACTAGTGCCCTCTAGTGTCGAGTAAATGAAAATATTGCGCGCCACTATTAATGTCTTGTACATGGCAACACTAGTTACACTAGCGCCCTCTAGTGTCAAGTAGCAGAACTAGGAGAGTCAAGATCCTTCCAGAAATTTCGGGACCGAGTACATACTCGAACATTCTAGATGTCGCTACAGTAGAAGATTCTGGAAACTATCTGAGGCCCTATATAAGGCCGGTATAGACCACGACCGAGGCAGTATTGAATTGGCGATACAAGAGAATACTTCGAAGCGAAATAACGGCGAACTGTGTTTTATTATTAGTGTGATTTTAGATTGTAATTAGTGTTGTGTAATTAAAGTGTCAATTTTGGTAATTCAATCGGCAGTTTTTAGTTGTCTCGAACCCCAAGCTCGTAACAATATCTTAGATTCATATATCTCGCGTATCAACTAGCTCTGGAGGTAAGCAGCTATTGTAGAATTTTACGAAAAGTCCCTCCACGTTTTCCATCCAGAACTGATCGTCTCTTTTTTATGATTGAAAATTTAATTTTACCGTCGCCTATCCACAGGCAAATGTACACATATTTTAACCAGTTCGTAATTGGCAATGCTTTCCATATTATAATCTGATTAGGGCATTTCACTTCTAAAGAACCAGGTTCATATTTTTGCCGTCTGGACTAGAATGATATGAATATTTGTGGTATATATGTAAATGGACTCTGGAAGCTTTATGCTCGTTGTTCTTGCAATTATAGATGGCATATTGTTTTAATCGTAACCACACAGTAATTGCTTAACAAGGATAGCTCGGTTGGTATTTTCAAGCCGTTTGCAAACTATGACAAACCATGAAGCTGTCAACTTTTCTTCTAGTTTTCAAGAGCGAGTTTGCACTCTGTAAAACAGTGCTCCTTTCAATACAGTTTTTCTGTTCTGGTTTTAAATTGTTGTATAAGTTGAAGTATTTATAAGTATAGGTCCATGGCCTGACAAAGACCTTTTGCGTGTTGAACCCACCAAATTTGTTAAATGACATAAGATTTGGTGGCTTAATTCTTTTGTTTTCTGATCGGGAACATTTGACAGAATATTAATTTTTCAACCCACAGTACAGGACTTCTTTACTGTGCCGGTCTCCAACTGTCGCAGCGTTACGCAGAAATATTGTATTAAATATAAAAAAACATCGTAGAACTATTTAGGCCATAAAATTTTCTAAAGTTATGAGTTTGAAAAGTACTGTTTTGAGATAATCAGCGTTTGGAACTTACATACATCCTTAAGAATACAATATTTTTTTATAGAATAAGGGTGACAAACAAACGCATAGTCCATCTGATGGTAAGTGGAAACAGTGACTCATAGACATATAAATTTATCCTCAGTTAATAATCAAAATGTAGATGCGTTGCAACCCGTGAGGACTAAGATGGAATGCCTCGTTTCCAGTAAAAAGGGTCTCCGGTTCTCTACACTCACTACCCACACACAGCAGCATTAAGCTGCTATTTTACGTTTTATTACTGGTATTATGTGAGAGCGTGGTACTACCCTGGTCAAGCCGACCCGAATCATTCAAATACTACCATAATATAGCTGCAGCGTGGCTCTACCACATTCTTAACATTCCTTGGTGTTACAGGTAAAATGTTTGATGATGACAAGACATATGAAAGGACATTCAGCCTCAACAAAAAGTCCAAAATGATCAGCACTTACGGCAAAGCCAGGGGCGGAGCGGCCAAGAAAACGGCCCAGTTCACCGGTTCCCTGTCAGATCGTCTTCACCTGATGGACACTACGCCAAAGGGTGAAGATCCTGCCAGGGGCGGAGTGGCCAAAAAGACGACCCAGTTCACCGGTTCCCTGTCAGATCGTCTTCAGCTGATCGACACTACGCCAACGGGGGAAGATCCTTACCAGTTGGGCGAGGCCGACATGAGGGAACAGTCTCCAATACCCAAGCTGATGCTGCAAAAGACCAATCATGGGAGGATGAAGATCTGCTCCGAGGCGGGAATGACGAACACTGCTCGACGGATCTACGACACCCCGGCAACGGAGACCAGTACAAAGTCCAAATTAAAAATGGATAGGTATGTATATAATAACTTTACTAGATAACTCCCTACAGGGTTTTAATAAGTGGGCATGGACCTGTCTAGATATGTGTCAATCATTCATTCGAATATTTTCAAAATTAACTTGCTTAGATCCGCGCGTTAAAATATAAAGCGTCTTCCACACACAAGCGGCTTGCGGTGGCGGCTAACCGCGGGCCGCGGCTGCAGCCGCTGCAACAACACACCACCGCGGCCCAAGTGGCGGCCTGAAGCGCCATTCGCTGTGGTGTCTGTGCTACGATCGGACGTATCAACATGACGAACCATGACGAAGTCTTTATTATATTCAGCAATATTATCATATATTTTGTTTTAATACTAATGCTTTTGTGATCACGATTCGAATTATCATAAAGTACTGGATAATTTTGCACTGTTTCTATTAAAACCTCTGAATTTAGTACCATTTTTCACGCGGTACACGCGGCCTGTTGTAAAAATTTACAACTGACCGCGTACTCGCTGACACACACGCATTGGCAAATGGGGCGGAGCATGCGGCCGCGGCCAGCCGCTTGCAGATTGCGACATGGTCGCACGAGTTTGCAGACTCACTTACATTGCAAGCCAATACAACTGGCCGCCACCGCAAGCCGCTTCTGTGTGGGAGACGCTTAATGATGTGTTTTACTTTCTTCTATCCCCGTCACCACTTCAACTTCCGTATTGTATAAATTAACAAAACACTATCACATAAATGTCTATGCACTTGAATTAACATTTGGAAGTGGTAGAAAAACAATTTTTTCTGCATTTTCAGGCGGTAGTTTACTTACTCCTTTTTTACTACCGACTTCATACACAAGGACATCGGTTCAAACAGAAATAAGTTATATGCTACCACATAACTTCTTTCTGGGTGAACCGATTTCGATTGATTTTCGATGATTCATTTTTTATTTGAAAGTTGGTGTTTCACATAATATGGTACCTGATTTTTGAGTTATTCTTAATAATTTATATTGATGTCGCTTCAGAGAAAAGACACTCTGAATAAAGACTATAAAAAGACTTGTGTACGTGGTAGAGCCATGCTGCAGCTATATTAGTAGTATGGTTGTAGCACGAATGGGTCGGCTCGACCGGGGAAGGACCACGCTCTCACAGAATACCAGCGTCAAATAGCAGCTTAACACTGCTGTGTTTCGTATGGTGAGTGTAGAGAACCGGAGACTCTTTTTACTGAAAATGTGGCATTATATCTTAGTACTCACGGCTGACAACACATCTGTATTTTGATTCGCAAACGAAGATAAATGTAGATGTCTATGGGCCACAGCAACCACTTACCATCAGGTGGACTGTGTGCTCGTTTGTCACCCTATCCCATAAAAAATAAAAAAGACTACTTCCTTACCCGAATACTTTTGCCTAATATTCGGCTATTCGGCTCGGAAGCCAGCACAATATTCGGTATTCGGCGTGTGGCCGAATATACTATTCGTTGCAAGTCTAATATTTACTATGCTTTGCCGCATAAAATCGCTATAAAATCAAAACTAGGAAGAGGACGTAAACAAAAACACAAAGTCGAATACTTTATCTTATTTATTTAGGAAAAAGCAAACAAGCTTTGGCAATGATTAGGAAAATTCGACAACACCGAAAATACAACTTAAAAAAACAGCTGATGATCTTAATTATTATGATGTCCACTATCAAAATGGCGTCGATACATTTATTGACTGATGAAGAGCTATCGTATATAAAAGCCTTCTATGCAAACAAGCTGTAGTTTTTGAGTTATAACAGATTGATCGGAGCGATAATCACAATTATTTTTACCCACGACGGAACGGAGAAGATGTATGTGTTTAAGGTGAGAGGTTGTTTGTTTGTTTGTTTGTGCGTGTGTGCAAACGAATGTTCCCATTTATCTCTAAAACTGTTTGACCGATTTAGAACGGTTTTCCGTGAAGGGTTTGTGGATTCATAGGGAATGGTTCTTAGATAGGTGTTATGGTATGAACGTACTACGGTGTTAACTCGCCAGAGGGCGCTGCAAAATTCGCTCGTTATAGCGAACTTTTCTCCGAGGCGACTTGACCGGATTTAGATGCGGTTATTGATATCCCACATAGCATATTTGGGTTCTTAATTACTATGTTAATAAAAGCTTTAAGGAAAATTTCCTTCGCAAATATCCGCGTTTTAAAAAATATTCGCAAATATACGCGTTATAAAAAATATTCGCAAATATCCGCGTTATAAAAAATATTCGCAAATATACGCGTTATAAAAAATAAATATTATAACGCGGATATTTACGAAGTAAATTTTTCTAAAAGCTTTTATATAATGGATTTCCTCAAAGTAACGCCTGATTCTATTAATTATACTATGTTAATGCCAAACAGATATAGATCAAATACAGTTTTGTGGCCTTTCTACGGCTTCCTCGATTAGTGACCCGAGCAACGTGCTTCTCAATCGTTCTAACTCTTCCAACGCTAAAGAGTTATCTGGATTTTTGAAGAGTTTTCTTTTATTTCGATCAGATATTACGTCGCCATCTTAAGATTGTACTCTACTAAGAGTTACATAAGCTTGCCCTTGCGAATGTTTTGGTTCCAAGATGTATGACCGCCTTATCGACTGCAGTGCCTTGCAATTTTTACACTGTAACTGTAACTGTAACCAACCTAATATGAGAGGAATCATTACCTTTTCTATTTTGCCAGCACCTTTGTTGCTTTGAAATGATACAATTAATTGGAGTTATGCCTACCTAATAATTTTCATTGCTGATAAAGCGGTCATCAAATTGGAATAGGTTTTTTTGGGCAGCCCTCATCTTCCAGGTAATCTCTTCTTAACCTTTCCTAATGAAAACCCCGAACTACTCCCATGCTGAAATTGGCTAATCATTCGCTGACTTTGATGTTCATTCTTAACATCACATCCAACTTTATGTGTGATGCTAGGTCTCATGTGTTATTTGGGTCCACCAGAATAGCAGCAGCTGAAGGTTTCTGTGTATAGCTGTTGGGTTCCCTGGACTCATCTCGTGCATTTATTCCGTGATTGAATGCGTTGACGAGTTTTAAGTTGGAATATATACAAACAGATTTCCCATCGGCAAAGTTTCCCTCTAGAGGTACACGAGTCCTCTCCAGAAGTAGCTAATACCATGCTCAGTTCTTCCACCCGTAAATTATTGAGTAGATGGAGAGATTTACAGAAATTTAGACAGTTACGTAGGGATTCTCTAAAAAGTTAAAAATAATAAGCAAAATTAAAAAGTTTGAATATACCCACGGCGGATGTAAAAGTTGTTGTCAAAAAAGAATTAAATAAAATTTTAGAAAACCCCTTACCAAAAGGAGTAAGTCACGAAAGATAAAAATAAAAAGCGTTTTAAAAAGGATTGATTTGTTGCGAGGTATGTCATAATAAACAACGTTTGTACGTGGTAGAGCCATGCTGCAGCTATATTACTGGTATAGTTGTGGCACGAATGGGTCGGCTCGACCGGGGAAGGACCACACTCTCACAGAATACCAGCGTCAAATAGCAGCTTAACACTGCTGTGTTTCGTATGGTGAGTGTTCCATTTTTACTGGAAACGAGGCATTTCATTTTAGTCCTCACGGCTGACAACGCATCTGCATTTTGATTCGTAATCGAAGATAGATGTAGATGTCTATGGGCCACAGCAACCACTTACCATCAGGTGGACTGTGTGCTCGTTTGTCCCCTTTATACTATAAAAAAAAAAAACTAATTATAACTTTCCTTAGTCTTATACTTGCACGTATATTTGATGTTATTGCTATGTCTATCGCTACGACGAACAAATTAGTACACAAATATAGGAAGGACTAAGGCAAGTCATAATTATAGTCTTGGCGTTATAGCGTGGTGCGGGTGACAGCTTACAGTTTAGCGTTACTAAACATGGAACAATGTTAAATCGATTTAAAAAAAAAAGCTATTAACGATACATACACAAAGCAAATAAAAAATGATCGATTAGCTATCGATAAAAAAATTAAAACCGTAGCATATATTTCTTTATAAATTACACTGCATGTTAATTTTAGTTACAGTTTAATACAAATTATAACATTATATTTACATATTATACTACGAGTTGCTCCCCGCAACTTCGCCTGCGTGCAATTTATTGAGATTCGATTTCATGGATTTTAATTTTTTTGCGCGGAACCCTAATTCCTTTCCTAAAATAATAGTAGACTTAAGTTACTACTTATAACATCAGCTATCTGCCAGTGAAAGTCCTATCCCAATTGGTTCACAGGTTATTGCGTGATGCATGTTTAGACAGAAGTCTTGTTAATGTTTTAAAGTAGTAATAGATATATTAATATGGAAATAAAAATTATCTATTTCAATATGTTGATTGCAACATTTGTCTTGACATTGAAACAAATAAAATGGCTGCCAGCACTTTCAGTACGACGTCGACTGCACCTGCAGCTTTTGAAGGTACGAGTGCTAGCGCCTTTCGTATGTGTATTAGAGTTGCTAGATCTAGTGGATCAAATATCGGAACGGAAGGTAAAAATAATCATGAATTCGGTTTACAAATCTCATAAAATACAATAAAACAGGTTTTAGTAGCTATTTTGGCTACTAAAAATGGTCGCCCTTCACTTCGCCTACCGGTACGAAGCTACTACTCGAGAACCTTTTTTCCTCATCGGTTGTCGATTCTTTGAGCTATATGGTCGGCCCACTGTCACTACAGCTTACTAATCCATTGGACTATGTCTATTACTCTGTTTCTACTGCGCATATTCTCAATCCTCATTTCTAAGTTCACGCAAAGAAACCCCGAGTATAGTGCTCTCCACAGCTCGCTGAGCGAACTTGAGCGTCATCATACGGCCAGCAGTGAAGTTCCACGTCTCAGGTCCATAAGTCATCACTGGCAACACGCACTGGTTGTACAATCTCGTTTTCAGGTTTTGAGACATACATACCTGACGAGCAGATGTGTCGTAGTTTCCCGAACGCTGCCTAGCCGAGTTGAATCTGTAAATAGTGTCGGATAAGACACGCTCTTGGATCGTTACTCACGTTTGCGTGTGGCTCCAACGATGACGTGTACAACTGCCCATAGAACATCTCAATCTCACTGAAAATCTCAGGTGGTCTCAGGAAACGATTTTCCCACACTCGGTCTTCAGCTTCGACAGTTGGCTCTTTCTGGCAGACAGATCTCTGGCAAAGATTTTGGAGCCTTGGTTCCGCTCGATCGCTTCTTCCATACAAGCTCTATTGAAATTGCATAAGTCCCGCCGCATGCATTTGGAGATCAGTCTGTTCAGTTGCCTGTATGTTGTCAAATCTGTTGAAGACTGCAGCTTCATTTCCCGTCTAACAGCCATGAGATTAAGAGTGTGATCGGAGAGTTTTTGTGTTCGTCTGCGGCGGGTCTTACAGAACTTGGCTCCGACCGCATGGACAGTTTCCACGAGATTATCATTAATATCGTCCACTTCTTCAATCACTTCTTTTAAGCACTCAAATCGGCTTTGTAACTCGAGCTGTAAGGTTTCGGGACTTTGGATTAGAGCACGAGGGGGACCGAGCGTCGACTTCATTAGACGAGACCTCTCCAACTTAACGTTTAGGTTCAGTGTGCCTTTAACCATTCGGTGATTGCTACCAGTTTTCAGCCTCGCGATCACGGAGACATCACTGAACAGTTGTCGTCTGGTCGTCATAATGAAGTCAATCTCATTTTTTGTCGAACCGTCGGGGCTCGACCAGGTCCACTTCCTTTGGGGCCGCTTCTGGAAGGAAGAGTTCATCATAAAGAGTCCCTCTTCTATGAAGTCGGCCAGCTGCTGGCTTCAGGATTGCCAAATTGGCCTTCATATGAAAATATTTAAGTCAACCCTCAACCCTTTTGTAATTAGTCATACCTTTAAATGATGAATATGATATTTGATACGTGATACAGTCATGCTACATCTACATTATGGTTGTAGCATGAACGGTTTAGTTCGACCGGGAAGGCCCACGCTCTCACAGAATCCCAGCGTAAAATAACACTTGAGTGTAGAGAACCAGACCCTCTTTACTAGATACGAAGCATTCCATCTTAGTCCTCAGGAATGACAACGCATCTGCATTTTGATTTTTTATTGAGGTAAGACGTATCAGAAGGACTGTGTGCTCGTTTGTCACCCTTATTCTTTTCTTTTTTTTAAATAATGACACTATTGACTTTGTATTTTAAATATATCACCGTTTACAGGTATAACCTCTCAAGTACATACATACCAAACATAAAGAAGGAGCCAAAAACTATAATAGTGGAGGAACCGGACCTAGACATCGTCAAGACAGAGCCGGAGATCGACTGGCGGACTTACGGCACGAGTAAACAAAGGACGGAGACAAGTCTGTGCGATTTCTCATACGGGGAGAACCCAAACAACCTTGCCTCGCATATACTGCCCTCGATCGACTCTGTGGAGTTCCAAGAGTTGTTCTCTACTGATGGGTTGAACCTAGATAACCTAAACCCGGTCGAGTACCACACAGCTACAGAGAACAAAACCACGACGGAGAAGACTAAGAAGAGAGGGGCGAGGGCCACCAGTCTAATGGGTACTGCGGAGGTAAGTAACTATATTTATGTATATTGATATTCCATGGCCATGTCACACCTATGCCGGTAGTTGTTGGGAACACTAAGCTCGAAGTTGTTGACGAGTATGTTTACCTGAGACAAATAGTTCGACTTCGACCGAGAGATCAATCGACGGATTCAACTCGGTTGAGCAGCGTTCGGGAAACTACGACACATCTTCTCGTTAGATAATACATTAACACTCACGCCTGTCACCCAGAGGGGTAGGCAGAGACTACGGACTTCCATTTGGCGCGATCCTGACACACCTCTCTCGCCTCTTTTACATCCATATATCTACGCATACACGCTCGTCGGTTAAGGGTACGCCTAATATGGCCCATTTTTAATGTATCGCCGATTTGATCGATAAACCTTCGTCTAGGGCGTCCCTTCCCGACCCTGCCGTTCACTTCTGCAACATAAATTTGCTTTGTCACTCTTTCCTCGTTCATTCTTTCTACATGACCAAAACCACCGAAGCATTCCTTTCTTAATCCTTGTCACAACGTCATCTTGCAAACCACACTTTTCTCTTATCACACTATTTCTCACCCTGTCATTCAGATTCAGCCCTAGCATACTCCTTAAGGAACGCATTTCTACAGCATTTATTCTACTCTCATGCTTCTTCTGCCAGACCCAACTTTCACTACCATACATTAAAGTAGGGACTAACACAGCATTATGAATTGCCATACGTGCCGTAGTTGACACATTCTGACTCCTCATAATAGCGTGTAGAGCCCCATTCACTCTATTTCACACTACATCTCTTTCTTATTATCTTCTCGTTAGACATACCTCAAAACCTGAAAACGAAACTGTACAACCAGTGCGTGTTGCCAGTAATGACTTACGGATCTGAGACGTGGCCCTTCACTGCTGGCCGTATGAGGAAGCTCAAGGTCGCTTAGCGAGCTATGGAGAGGGCTATGCTCGGAGTTTCGGAGAACGGATTAGTAAGCTGAAGTGGCAGTTGGCCGGCCATATAGCTCGAAGAACCGACAACCGATGAGTAAGAAAGGTTCTCGAGTGGCAGCCTCGTACCAGTAGGCGAAGTGTAGGGCGACCCCCCACTAGATGGAGTGACGACCTGGTAAGACATGCAGGAAGTCGATGGATGCAGGTGGCTCAGGACCGTGCTTTGTGGCATTCCTTGGGGGAGGCCTATGTTCAGCAGGGGACTTATGAAAGACTGTAATGATGATGATGATGATAAATATTCCTAAAAGTAGAAGATTGAAAACAATGTGTAAAAAAATTAAAGGATACAGCACAGGCATCGTTTTGTGTACAGACATTCACTTGAAACAAAACAAACTTTTATTTTAAACGTAACTTTTTAATGATGACGACACTGTGACCTTTTGTCTAACAATTAAGTTTACCTTAGCAACACACAACTAGCGACATCTGGTGATTATTAGCCTTTATTACAATCCCGGTGTCATGAAGGCGAGAGTGAATAGGCTACATTACTACTTACCGCTAAGTAAGTGTATTGTCTGCTATCTTCTCTAATCACTGTAGTGTAACACAGGCTCGGCACGCACTTAACTAAACACGTCCACTCTCGCCCTAGGTTCTCGTGTAACTGACGCGGTGCGCTCGAGACAGTGACTTATATATATATATATATATGCAAACACTACATCTCTTTCTTATCAAGATTTTTTCTTTTTTTTATTATAACTCATAACAATCACAAAGCAGCTTGTATTGTCTGTATTAATTATTACATATTTTCGTCTTCCTTATCCTGTTCTAGATTTTGTTCTTTTTCATTCTGATCGGGTGGAATAGCCGTTCAATCGCCTCCTAATTTCTTCAAATGTATCACATTTCTCCTAAACTTTTGGTTCGTTTCACTATTGCGTACTGTGCAGTCACCGTCTCGTGCACTCTCTACGACGTGTGGCATCGGTTTAAAATTTGTAAGATTATTCGATTTTTCCACTGCTGTTACGTAAACCTTATCTCCCTGTATTATATCTGAGTGAGTTGCTCTGGGTTTCCTATCTACTCTTTAATGGGGATCGGTACTCTCCACTTGATTTATCCCGATACTAAGTTTTAAGACACCCAAACGGACTGCTGTGTTCTTACCCAACAGGTCTCTCTAGTACCCCCCGAAATCACGTAAATGGTTGTATGTTCCTTTCGTCCATCGACTTCGAGTATAGTCTCAAATGAACCCTCTATTGCTAAAGGAGTGTTACTACCATATGTCTTGTCTGGTCTTTACATTTGATTAAAAGCATATACTTTTTTGCTATTTTAAACTCTTCCCGCGTTTTGTAAGATATAAGGTTCTTGCGCAATTTCGAATTACACTTTTCCGCAATTTGATCTATGAGATGATCTTGCTTTTCGAATGCACACTTTTCGGCCTGTTGACGCAATCTTATCAAAAACTTATCAAATTTTTGTCCTTTTTCCTGTTTTAGCAATCGAAAAACATGCCGCTCATAAACTACGCTCCGTTTAGGTTGAAAATACTCGTCGAGTTTTTTTATGGCTACTTTAAATACATCAACGGTTTCTGATGATTCGACATTGGCACCCGGTAAATTGTAGAATATTTCTTGTATCCCAGAGCCACCAAAATGCAATAGCGTAGCTCGTTTCTTGAGTGCTGATATAACTTCAGCTGCGTCCAGATAGATTAGTAGAGACCTTTTCCATTTTTCACACCTTATAGCCATAGATGTGCTATCACATTAAAGTTGATAACGGTATCATTATTATTATTATTTTAGGGGCAAACTGAAACAGTTTCTTATATATTTATTTCCAATTTAATGCTGGTATTTTAATACCCAAAGTCCAATTTAATGGCAGTACTTAGCACCCAAAGTCCAATTTAATGGTAGTAACTTAGTACCCAAAGTCCAATTTAATGGTGGTACTTACCTTAGTACCCAAACTCCAATTTAATGGTAGTACCTTAGTACCCAAACTCCAATTTAATGGTGGTATCTTAGTACCCAAACTCCAATTTAATGGTGGTATCTTAGTACTCAAACTTCAATTTAATGGTGGTATCTTAGTACCCAAATTCCAATTTAATGGTGGTATCTTAGTACCCAAACTCAATTTAACGATGGTATCTTAGTACCCTAACTCAATTTAATGATGGTATCTTAATACCCAAACTCAATTTAATGATAGTAATATGTTCCATAACACCCGCCCTTCTCTTTCGGTTTATTTGTTATACCGACTACTTCCATTGCTGTGCCATTTAGGCTTTGGGTGAATTCAATACCTATAATGCGCATTTACAGTATTACTAGTTACCTACTATGCAATTTACAGAAGTCGTGAAGTGTCCACGATTTTTTGTGAGACTTATATATGCCATGAAAGCGGAAAAATAGTATTTTCATTAAAGGCTATAAATATCACACCTACATGTAAAATGCCACTAAAATTTAGCTAACGATATTGTATTTCGGTTCGAATCGAGAGGAGTGATTAGTTACATCTACTATCTTTCCATCAAAAGATAAAAGTTGTGCTAATAGACATATGTTAAAATAAATCATTGTTTTATCATTGCTACATAAAGAAAATAAATTTTGCACACCATAAGCGTGTTCTCATATCATCATCATCATTACAGCCCTTCACAAGTCCACTGCTGAACATAGGCTTCCCCCAAAGAATGCCACAAAGCACGGTCCTGAGCCACCTGCATCCATCGACTTCCTGCATGTCTTACCAGGTCGTCACTCCATCTCGTGGGGGGACGCCCTACACTTCGCCTACCGGTACGAGGCTGCCACTCGAGAACCTTTCTTCCCCATCGGTTGTCGGTTCTTCGAGCTATATGGCCGGCCCACTGCCACTTCAGCTTACTAATCCGTTGGGCTATGTCGGTTACTCTGGTTCTACTGCGGATATCCTCATTCCTAAGTTTATCACGCAGAGAAACTCCGAGTATAGCCCTCTCCATAGCTCGCTGAGCGACCTTGAGCTTCCTCATACGGCCAGCAGTGAAGGACCACGTCTCAGTTCCATAAGTCATCACTGGCAACACGCACTGGTTGTACAATTTCGTTTTCAGGTTTTGAGGTATGTCTCATATAATTTATATAAATTATTAAAATGATCATAACAGGGTTAAAAACAATAAATCATAATTCATAATCCAAAGTTTTTTTCTGCGGGTACTCTTGGATTTAGTTTACAATTTGCAATTACAATGCTAATAGTTGCACATTGCTAACCTATTTTTGTTGATATTTTTACACTAAACAGGTATTTACCTTTTTGCTCGTCGCCACTTGTATTGTCTGCTATCTTCTCTAATTACTGTAGTGTAACACAGGCTCGGCACGCACTTAACTAAACACGTCCACTCTCGCCCGAGGCTCTCGTGTAACTGACGCGGTGCGCTCGAGACAGTGACTTATATATATATGGAAACACTACAGTAAGAATAAGTTTTTACCATCGGTTCGACAAAGAACTTCTGTCCTGGGGTGAAGTAGCAATAGTTTACAATATAATATGATGTACAGTTAAATAAGAAAACGTTTAGAAACAGTATTTCGTTGTGTTTAGAAGCGAATTTCATCAATAGACAGAATGATTCAAGAGGAAGGTTTATATGTATAATACATGCATATTATATGTATTGTATAATTCTTCTGTCCGTGTGTATGTGTCCTAAACGGCTGGAACAATTATAATGAAATTTTGTGTGTGATTAAGTTGATTAGAGAATGGTTCAGATTCACAATTGGAACCGTTAGGTGGCATTATTGTCGAGATCCAAAAATTAACTGTGCGAAACCGGGTCGGATTACTTGTTATCAATAAGTAAAAGAACGAATGGGACGTTTTCTCTGTTTCACCTAACCCCTCCTGATGAGAAAGATCCTATGCCCATTGTTACGGCAAGTATACATTGATACATTTATATGATTAAATGCAATCATGTGTTGTTTCCAGGTTCCGCCTCCCGGTGAAGGCACCTCAGGGTCCATGCCCGTTGAAGGTCTAGGACCCCCGATCAAACGTGGAGGAGAAAGCAAGCGTGGGCGGAAACGGGCACACTCCACGACAGGACTGGCTAAAGTACCCAAGCTAAAGCCTCCACAGAAACCAAGGCTACCTAGAGGAAGAGGTAATTAATCTATATTTTTTTTAAATTATAAGCGAAATACCACCTACTCATCACGAGACTCCAATACTCGCCCGATTGACTTGAAATTTGGCATGTATACTCCTTTCTCGACGTCGACACCCATTAAGAAAGGATTATGAAAAATAAAGGGATGAAATAGTATGTGGTCAGCTTATTTATACTCTCAACCGGTCTAGATTTAAGATTTGAAACTGCAGTCTCTGATATTAAAAGTTAGATGAAATTAATATTGCTTCCTGTAGTGTGGCATTGCAATCTGTTGTTACTTTGCACTCCAATCAGCCACTTGTTGACGAGGTGTCCTGTACGTATCAATACAATATAACATCCCTCTGTGTTTCGCATGTATATGTTTTCCTTTGTGGTTTCTGCTTGTTTTGTAACATGAAACAGGCTTGAACATATTTACAAACAACGTACTTGACAGCCGCTTGCCGCGGGAAGAGGTCACCGGTGCCGGGGATGATGACCCGGAGGCCGTATCACACGCAAGTTGGAGACCCAGATCTCTCTTGGTACCTTGGCCTGGACCCAGATCTCAAGGCCGAAGATGTCGACCCGCCCGCCGATTGCAAACTCTCCACCGTCGAGGTAAATCTTTCCCCTTTTGATTTGCTGCCAACCACCTAACGCTTCGATTTATTTAAATACTTTTGTTATACAATTTCGCTGTCACCGATGTAATGCATTATGAATAAAACCCATCGAGTATTAATGGCTTGTATGTAAACTTGTGCAAAAGAACTGACAGATTGCAAAACCATCACCGGTGTTTAATGAATTCGTATTGAAAGTCCTGTACAAGTCCAGAATGTTCGGAGACTATTTTTGACTAAATGCCAAACAAGTAGAATGTTTTTTTTAAATTTATTTCACGATGTCTCTCATAAGTATGTTTTATTATTATATATACTCATTCACTGGTGAACATAGACCTTCCCTATAGATTGCCCCATAGGGGTTAATATTTTGCCATAATTCATTGCCCAATATTTGCTATAGTTGCCACGACTGGAGTTGGTATAACGAAGAAGGGCTTGGTAAAAGTATGAGACCATCCTTAAAGTTTATCCTGATAACCGTATGGTATCCGTTAATTGCGGCCTCAAAATCAATATTCAAACACAGAAATAACTTTACTTACTTCATGAAAAAATAAGTAGTATAAACCCCATTCTTGTATTACTATTATATTCACAATTCACGTAAAACAGTCAATCACAGGTCACACGTTAAAATATTATGTTAATCGTTTATTCCGTATCGTTCACAATATTGATTGCAATCTTGAAAACTGGCGTGTACCGAGTCAAATGCCCAAATCGTTCACGATTATCAACATGTCAGATAGAAAAAGGACAAAACAAACGTATGTGTACGTCCATGTCACACCCATCCTGTTAGTTGTTGGGAGCACTGCGCTCGATGTTGTTGACGGGTACGTTTACCTGGGACAAATAGTCCGACTAGGTAAGTCCAACTCGCCTGGGCAACGTTCGAGAGATTACTATACAAATATTTCTTCTCGTATGTCTCAAAAGTTAAAAACAATAGTGTCTAACTAGTGCGTGTTGCCAATGATGACATACGGATCTAAGGCATGGTCCTTCACTGCTGGCCTTATGAGGAAGCTTAAGGTCGCTCAGAGAGCTATGGAGAGGGCTATGCTCAGAGTTTCTCTGCATGATAGACTAAGAAATGAGGAAATACGCTGTAGAACCAGAGTGCAGCTATATAGCTCGAAGAACTGTTGTACCGATGGGTAAGAAAGGTTATTGAGTGGCAACCTCATATCTGCAAGCGAAGTGTAGGACGACCCATCCCTAGATTTTTTTTATAGAAGCGAGCACACAGTCCACCTGATGGTAAGAAAATGATGTGGCCCATCTACATCTACATCTAAGTTGTTAAGTGTCACCCCTGAGCGTTAAATTAAATGCCTAGTTTCCACTGATAAGGATCTCCAGATCTCTACACTCACCATACGAAACACCACTACTCTGCTATTTCATACTGGTATTCTGTGAGAGCGGGCCATAATATAGCTGCAGCGTGACTCTACCATGTCAGTGACGACTTGTTAAGAGATACAGGAAGTCCATAGCAGAAGGTAGCTCAGGATTGTGCTTGGGGGAGACCTATTTTTAGCTGGGGTTTTTTTGTGATTTATAGAGATATTCTTGATAAATATACTCTGTCAAATTTAGCTTGATAATGTTGACAGTTTACTGTAGGGATGGTGTAAGTGTAGTATCGTTAATGAATATATTCGATTATTATTCTCACAGAATTTGCAATCAATAATTGCATGTTCATGCTGTATGGGTTTGAATTTCGAACAATTTCTTATGTGTCAAATTAATAATAAATTATTAATACGATAATAAAATCTTTCCCACAATAACGATTTCCCCCCGTGCATATTTTTATTCGGTCAGTCAGACTATTTAGTAGAATACGTACGAGTCGTAATAATTCTTAGTGTGAAATAAAACAAGGAATTGTAGCTTAAAGTTATTTATTATTAAAATAATGGTGCACAACCAAAATCAAGTTTATTATTATCATCATCATCATCATCATCATCATCATCATCATCATCATCATCATCATCATCATCACGAGGCTCACTACAGGAACTGTCCAACTGGAACAGACGGACCCATTTTACTGGAAACGAGGCATTCTATCTTCGTCCTCACGGCTGACAACGCATTTGCATTTTGATTCGCAAACGAAGATAGATGTAGATGTCTATTGGCCACAGCAACCACTTACCATCAGGTGGACTGTGTGCTCGTTTGTCACCCTTATTCTATAAAAAAAAACTTAAATAGAAAATTTTACTAGCCCCTGAAAAGAAGTCTACCGCAGCTAACACAATCTTGAAACCGCTGCACCGATTTTGATAACTCATTTCTAAGAAACTCTGTCATTCAGATTCAGTCCTAGCACACTCCTTAATTACCGCATTTCTACAGCATTTATTCTACTCTCATGCTTCTTCTGCCACACCCAACTTTCACTACCATACATCAAAGTAGGGACTAACACAGCATTATGAATTGTCATACGTTCCTTATGTGACACATTCTGACTCTTCATAATAGCGTGTATTCACTCTTATTTCCTGCGTTCACTCGTCGTTCTATATCCTTATAATATCTACCATTCGTGCTAATCCCAATTATACAAACTCATCCACTTGCTGAATCAACTCCCTTTCTATTCTTATTTCACGTAACGTTTGACTTTCTTCTCTTTAAAAAACCATCACTTTCGTCTTACTTGCGTTCACTTTCATACCCCGTTCCTTTTAATGACCAGTTCATTAAAGAAACGATCATTTGCAACTCGGCCGCCGACGATGCAAATATGACTTGATCATCGGCGTACAAAAGGCATTTGACGGTTAACTCACCCATTCTCAACCCACATTCTTCAACTTTCAAAGTTTGCAAACAACTGTTCATAAATAGGTTAAACAGCCACGGAGAAGCCACACATCCCTGTCTGACACCTTTATGGATGCCAAACCAGTCCGAGTAGACCCCGTTGATCCTGACACAAGTACTAGAGTCCCTGTAAAGAGACCTTAATGACAGATTGAGAAATATTGTGGTAAGAGAAAAGTGTGGTTTGCAAGATGACGTTGTGACCAAGATTAAAAAAAGGAATGCTTCGGTGATTTGCTTATATAGAAAGAATGAACGAGGAAAGAGTGACAAGCAAATTTAAGTTGCAGAAGTAAGGGGCAGAGTCGGGAAGGGACGGCCTAGACGAAGGCGTATCGACCAAATCGGCGATACATAGAAAATGGGCCAGATAAGGAATATCCTTAACCGACGAGCGAATATGCGTAGATATATGGATGTAAAGGAGGCGAGAGAGGTGTGTTAGGATCGCGCCAAATGGAAGTCCGTAGTCTCTGCCTACCCCTATGTGTGACAGGCGTGAGTGTTTGTGTGTGCGTATTTCTAAGAAACACCGCTAACCCGAATACCTGCTTTTAAATAAAAAACCGCACCCAAATCAGTTCACCCGTTTAAAGAGCTACGTTACCACAGACACACAAACAGACAAGACACACACACATAGCGTTCAAACTTATACGAGGGTGGATTGAAAAGTACTCGGCCTAACCAAGAAAATAAACAAATACTAAATCAGTTATATTTTTATTTTTCTACATAATCACCATCAAGTTTAATACACTTTTGCCACCTCCCCTTCCAAGCATTTAGACCGTTGAAAAAAAATGATTCTTCCTTACACGTCTACAGCTGCTTTGACCTCGTCGTTTGTTGAAAATCTTTGACCTCCCAAGTGCTTTTTTAGGTTAGGGAACAGAAAGAAGTCTGATGGTGCCAGATCAGGTGAATACGGCGGATGCGGTAACAGTTCAAAGCCACAGTTGTGAATTTCAGCCATTGACTGTACTGACGTGTGAACACGGGCGTTATCTTGATGAAACAGGACTTTTCTTCTGAGCATTCATCGACGTTTTTCTTTTATTTCCTCTCGTAAACGACGTAGTAAGGTGCAGTAGTAATCAGAGTTTATATTCTGACCCCTTTCAAGATAATCAATCATAATCACACCTTTCGAGTCCCAGAATACTGAAGCCATCACCTTATTTGCCGACAAAATCGACTTAGCCTTTTTAGGGGGTGGTGAACCAGGTCTTCTCCACTGTTTTGATTGTTGTTTTGTTTCCGGTGTACAGTAATGAACCCATGTTTCGTCCATAGTAACAAAACGATTCAAAAAATCATCTGCATCGGCTTCAAATAACTCCAAACAGTCGCGTGAAATAGTCAATCGCGTCCTTTTTTGTTCAACTGAAAGCAGTCGCGGAACCCACCTCGCAGACACCTTGTGGAAACCCAAGTCGTTGACAATGATGTTTTGAGTTCGTTCATAAGAGATGCCTATAATCTCGGCTATCTCTCTAATTTTTAATCTGCGGTCTCCCATTATTAAATCAAGTACTTTTTTAATATTTTCGTCAGTAGTTGACGTCGAAGGCCTTCAATCTACAATTTAATTTGTTTTAATGTTCAAGTACCAAAATTCGTCATTCCAGCTATACTGGTTCAGTATTATCAACAGATGCTTAACTTCAAGTGTTAAAGCAATAAAATAATCACACAACAATAGATTAACATTACAGCTGTAATTGCTAAGTCTCAAGTGGAATCCTGCCATCCCATTTGAAATGAACTATACATAATATGTACATATAACTTATAATTTTGCTTATAATTTATCCATTAGATTGTTCTTTTTCCTTTTCTTCTAACAACAATACACCTACCATCAAACAATATAAGGGAAACCTGTTATTGGCCATACTTTTAGTTTGTTACATTAATGTTAATATTTTCTATATACGCTGTTGGTTTTCTAAATAAATAAATAAATAAATAAATAATGACGGCACGCTGCTCGATTTGCTCCATTCGCGGAAATTATGTCCGATTACTTTGTTAATAAATTTATAAAATCACAACTAATTATCGCACACGTTTCGAACTTCACACAATGAACTAGTCTGAACTGAACTAAATAATATGGGTAGATTTGATTTTTAGAATTGAATGGATCTGTGTTTGGCCGAGTACTTTTCAATCCACCCTCGTAACATCTCTTTTTGCGTCAGGGGTTAAAAATGGTTTATTAATCTACATTTCGAACTATGTTATAACAAGAGTCCTTCTAACCGAAGAAGTCTTGGCGTCTCAGTTTTCGACAATATTTGACATTTGCAGTCAAACTCCTTATTTACGATCCTCGCGACTTCTTTCCTGAATCAGATTATAGTTTAATTATACTGAGAATAATTATAAATTACTTTATGTAATATGGCTGAATAAGTAATTTTTATACGGTTATAATGGCGTTTCAATAATATTATTATTATTATTTTAATTTTATTATTAAAATTATTCAAGAGCAGTTCGCATGCTAATATCTTGACTCTTGTTGAGTGGTACTTTATAGTAATAATAAGTCTTGTTCCCATTTTAAATTAATTAGAATCCAAACAATCATCATCATATTGTTATCAATTATTCTAATACATTTATCTCTACATATTTTTTTATTTTTTTTTGAAGCACGTATTATTCATTTTCATGAGCTGAAAAGTCTTTGGCCTGACATATAGATGGCGCCACAAATTCAAAATACATGTGCTCTTTGTAGACCACAGTACCAGCCTTAACTTCTTGTACTATTATTTATTCTGTGCCTTAACTTAGATCCTGCCAATTATTTCATCACATTTGGATCACTAATTTTCAAGTAAACAATAGGAAAAAAGTAAATTTCGTGTTTTCATAAAATATTGTTTTTTGATGGGAAAAAAATACATGGCATGGCTTGTTAAATATTGTAATACATCTGCCCCACCAAATTCAACCATTAAATTTTGTTTTGCTAAATTTAGTCGTGACCGTACGAGCACCAGTGATTCCCCGCAATCGGGAAGGCCAAATGAGGCAGTAACTTCGGAAAACATCAAAAATCGGCTAATTGCAAGTCGGACCCGCGCATGGAAGGTTCCGTACCATTGTACAAGATTTTAACAATTAAAAAAAATTAAGGGGAGGCCCTTAATTTTTTTTAAATTGTTTGTTGTTATAGCGGCAACAGAAATACACATTCTGTGAAAATTTCTACTGTCTACCTATAACGGATCATGAGATACAGACAGCAGAGGGACGGACGGACGAATGAGATTTAGAAATAGGGCCCCGTTGGTTACCCTTCGGGTACGGAATCCTAATAATGTGACGGATCTTGTGTTGAATGCGCGCAAAATTAAATTGAGTATGATAGGTCACATCATAGGCATCTTAAAGGAACGCGTTGGACACATTATTCATGAATATTTACACTTGGGAATGTTGTGCGCGCGATGGGTGCCGTATTTCCTAACAATTAACCAGAAAGCAAAGTGTGTTCTTCTTACAAAGTAAAATTTGGAGCTACTTTTATTATAGGATAAGGGTGACAAACGAGCACACAGTTCACCTGATGGTAAGTGGTTGCTGTGGCCCATAGACATGAACATCATTCCTCGACTACGAATCAAAATACAGATGGGTTGTCACCCGTGAGGACTAAGATGGAATGCCTCGTTTCCAGTAAAAAGGATCTCCGGTTCTCTACACTCACCATACGAAACACAGCAGCGTTAAGTTAAATTTTACGTTAATATTCTGTGAGAGCGTGGTCCTACCCCGGTCGAGCCGACCCATTCGTGCTACAACTATACCAGTAATATAATAGTAGCATAGCTTTACCGCGTAAAAAGCTATTTCGCCACAATAAAAAGGAATTTTTGAAACGATTTGTGATACTGGATGAAACATAGATTTATCATTACACGCCTGAGTCCAATGCCGGTGTCGGCGGAATGGTTATTGCCTAGTGAAAGCCGCAGGAAGCGACTGAAGATGCAACAATCAGCTGGCATGGTGCTAGTCAGTATTTGTTGGGATGCATATGGTGTAATCTCTAGGTGTTCTTAGACTACCGTCAACATGGAAAAACAATCAACAAACAATATTACTGTACATATCGATTGGACAACGAAATCAAGTATAAACGACCTCATTTAGCATGAATAAATCTTATTTCACCAAGACAACGCTTCAGCGTATTTTGCTCGCGATACGACCGATAAATAGAAGGAATTACGTCACGAAGTGGTTGAACATCCACTGTATTCGCCTCATTTAGCACCTAGCGACTATTTCCTGTCTCCTCGGTTGAAAATTGACTCATCGGGAAGAGATTTCATTCAAATTAGGACCTCGGGTACTTGAGGGTAATTGAGGTACTTGACGCGGACCACTATAAGAAAGCCATCGAAATGTTGGAACATCGTTACACTAAGTGCATTACTCTAGATGGAGATTATGTCGAAGAAAAAAATTGTTTTTGCACTAAAATACAGTTTTTTCATTGCCAGGTCAAATACTTTTCAGCCCATGTAATACAATACTAACCAAAAGAATATCAAAATTTCGTTATAGTTCATTGTGTTTTTGGTTTATCAGTTGTATTTGTTTAATTTAAATTACTATAATAATTTAAATAAAAAATAATATTATTATACCAATTTAAATAACAATTAAATGAATATAGTATAATATTTCATTTTACGCGCTATAAAATCCTTGGAAAATAGTATTTATTGCTAAGTAATATGGTTGAATGTTCTCTGGAGTCCTCACTTTATTGAATGTTCTATTGAATGTTTGCAGGTGCCGCGGTGGAGGGAGAAGCCGTACACGAGCTGTTATACGATGGAGGGCACCGAGAACGTCGACGACCGCGTCTTCGAAAAACGTCACCAAAAGCTTGAGGCTGAGGAAAGACGGCAACTCAGGTAATCTATACAACATGTAACAAAAACCCTGTGGTTTCCATTAAGGGCGTAATCAGAATCAGTATTCTCACGTAAAATGGCAGTTTAATACTGCTGTGTTGCATATGGTGAGTATAGAGTACCGGAGATCCAGTACAGTACCGGAAATGAAGCATTTCATCCTTGTTTTTTTTGATACTTGATGTACATCCAACTAATGCAGCCTATAAAGATCTTCTGCTGCCTTAAATAGGCTGCCTTCTCATGTGCTGCTTTTTTGCCCTATTTGTCACACTTGGCAGGCGAGCTGGCACAGCTTTTATTATGTTGAGTTATCAGGAAAATGCTGCTGCCCATCTCCTGGTTCGCCCACGAGAGTGTGTGTGGGCTTATAGTGACTGCTTCGACTGGGCGAAAACACGGTTGCTGGTCATGATGTCCCGGGTTCCAATCCTGTCTCGGGCCCAAATCAGAGATTGTGTTTTTCTATCAAGAAATTCTCAGTAGCGGTCTGGAGCTGATAAGAAAATAAGAAGTTGATATTGTCCCATCATTGAATCGTGTGGGCTATAATTGAGTGTGCGGTTTAAACACAGGTGGCACATGCGTCGGGTCCGGGAACAAAGGCACGTGGAGAGACTCCGGCAAAGACAGCGCGCGAGCTGGGCGCAAAGACCTGCGGTGTTCTCAGTATGGCCCCGGCCCCATGCGGATGCACGCTATATAGAAATCACCGACACGTTGCCGGTCATGGCGTTCGGCGAGCCAATGCCGGATCTACCTTGCAAGTTAGTAAACTGTTGTATCTAATCTAATATACCAACATAGCCAGTCCTTTTATAGAGGTCAGTGTCCTCTATAAATGGACTGGCTATACACCGTGACATAATGAGGTGATTTGATTTTCACCATTTTGGCGCTGACAGCAGAAGTGAGCATCCACGGTACTGAACGGAAAAGACAGTGGGACAAAATATATCGATCATGATGAAAGTCATATAATTAAAATATAAATTGCAGGTGTTGTACATTTTCGTGGCAAAACATTGAGAGGGACTTAAAATAAGTATTATACGTGGTAGATCCACACTGCAGCAATATTATACCAGCGTAAAATAGCAGCTTAATCCTGCTGTGTTTCGTATGGTGAGTATTCGGATACCCTTTTTTACTGGAAATAAGGCGTTCCAGGGGTGACAACGCATCTGTATTGTGATTCTTAATTGAGGATAAATGTAGATGTCTATGAGTCACATCACATCACTACTTACCATCACAGGTGAACTGTGTGGCCGTTTGCCACTCTTATTCTTTAAAATGGGGACCAAATTGATCTCCGGTGAGCTAATGCATTTGGGCTTGAAGAACCATCAAAGTGATATGACCATTTATATAAACTTTAATATGTACAAAATATATTTTTCCAATTCTAATGTGAAATTACAGAGCTCATATTTTGTATAGGCGAAAACCTCGCACAATCATTATTTGGTTTAATAAGTATCCACACTTACTATTAGAATCGATAAAAGTCCACTGTTAAACATGGGCCTCCCCCATTGAGTGAAAATAGGGGAGATTATGACATTAGGCACAGGTAATTGGGCATGAGAAAAGCTGCGATTGTTTTTATCATGTGTTGTATTAGGAACGTGCTGCCGACCATCTGTTTCAGTTTCCCACTGTTCTTACCATAGTTCATGGGGCGATATGAGGTAGTGGAGAGTTTTACAGCGCCACTACACGGTTATACTTGGTATATGTAAGCAAACAATCTGTCATTAAATTAATTGTATTATTGCAGAGACTTCATGCTGCCGTGGGTGAGGACTTCTAAGGCGCTGAAGAGATCAAAAAGATCGAAGACGCTGCATTAGCATACGGACGACACAGAAAAGACTAAGTGTTAGTTGTTTGTGCAACTCTGTGTACTTTAGATGTTTACTGTCTTGTCAAGAGCTCGCCGCGTCCACACCGTATCATTTCACCATTGATAATATTATCGAAGATTTACTCGGAAGTATTTTATGTTATATCATGTCATTTCAAATTATAAATTTTTGAAAGCACATCGTTATTTAAAATTACGGAAAGGGCTATAAAGCTGCTTCTACATTTTTGAAATTTATTTATTTTACAGTCCGTGTGTAAAAAGTCTATAAACGTATAGTCTACATAAGATAGAGGTCTCTTTACCCTTCGTTAACTAAACTGTGGAACACTGATACAGTCAGCAGAACAGTTACTTTTATATCTTAATGAGTAGGAACATATTTAGCGACTAAACTCCGTGAGCTCTCTGTGTCACTTCGTAATTTCGTATATAGATATGAGAAGAATGAAATTTAATTGTAACGTGAGATTAATTTTGAGGAATATGATGAGCTATCACGGGACACTTGAATGGGCATATGCGATCGATGATTAGTGATGCACTCGGGTATGGTTAGTAAAATAAAATATGATAAATTTTTTGTAAGGACGTGTTCCATTTGTGTAATCACTTTTTAAAGTGTATTTGTTCTATTTAAAATTAGTAATATAGAATTGTAGATCATAAGTGTAACGGTAAACGAGTTGATTTTTGGAATGTATTTAAATAAACGATCGATTGTGTATGTTAGTTGTTATTTCTCTTAAGCTGTATATTTATGAATTGCGAAGTAAACTGTCGTGTATGGTACTATCAGAGTGGTATTTTTATATCTCAAAAGCTCTTGGTGAGATTTTGTAAAAGATATTAAAAGAAAATAATTGTTTATAAATAATTCATTACTATGTAATTCACAGTTACTAATCTATAAGCATACACCGTTGACACATACGTCTAATTTCAGGTTGTTTTCCAACAGGAATAGTGTACGTTTTCGTTTACAACTGGATTCAACATTACGAAGCAAATGGTGAAAAAAAAATTCAAAACAAATTATGATTTGCGAGAATATTCTAAGCTTAAATGTTATAAAGAATATGTAAACACACAAAACTGTTGTGTATGTGTGTCCGCGGCGAGCATACGTGTACGCAACTGACCGATGTACATAGTTGTAACTGTAGTAAGATACGTCGGTTAACATTGCTTCAAACTGTTATGGTTCTCAATCGAATTTTTAAATTATTGTGAATAGAGTATGTTGAGTCAAAGTAGTAAGTATGTTTTACAATAAATGTAGTTATGCAACAATGATCCAACTCATCGGAGTTATATATAATGCCAAACTAATCCTTAGGGTCTGTACATTTACACAATAAAAATACCAGCGTTAATCGCGACAAAACTAACCATCCACATTATTTGGATGCTTTGCGGTCGACTACTGTACGATTTACTAGGAGTTTTATTCCTCGCACGACTACTTTGTGGAAACGTTTACCACCGGCGATTTTCCCGGACCGATATGACTTAGATACCTTCAAGAAACGAAATTACTCCTTTCTAAAAGGCTGGCAAAACGCATCTGCGATTCCAATGTTTTTGCAGTTGTTCATCGGCGGCGGTAGCTAATCACCATCACGTGGGCCGCACGCTCGTTTGCCCCCTCCTCTATTAAAAGCAAGCTATTTGAATGATAATCCAAACTTTTAAACTCAAAATCTTTGATTTTTTGTCCATTGAAGTTTGTGTGAGCTTTTTCTGCGTTGGATCCTTTTTGCGAAACCACATCCAATTGTATTTATTGTGAAAAATCGTTTGGGAAAGTATGGAGTTTACGCATTTTTTGTATATATTAGTGTGTAGTATTGCTAACTGTATGTTGGCTTGGTATTAACCGATAAATTTTGTAGACTCAACATTCTGATCACAAGAGCGCGCACGAATGAGAGAGCACGAACGAATGGAACTCGCATTGTCGTACATTTGTATCTCAGTAAGCATAATATTTTAATTGGTGAACTGATCGGTTATTTATTACTCTAATGCTGCCTTATTGGCATTTGTTATTTTAACGGGCAACATCCGATCCCAAAGATCGAGTTAAATGTAATTTAGATTTAAATTTTTTCTTGTATATTATATGTAAGTTTAAAAAGATGTAAATATATATATATATATATAAATATAAATGCGTTAGCAGTTCCATCTGTCATATGCACGTAGTTGTACACTAAGTGCTAGTGTAATGAATTAGATTTTTGAATTCGTTTTATCTGTCCTTAAGTTTTAATTATGTTACATATAGCGGTCAGTGTTTTTTTGCATTTTGTTCAAACTGGACTGTATTGGCCGCATGATTAGCTTTTAAGTTATTTATTTAGGGCGTCTTTCCCACCGCGTCATGGTTCCGGCGCGATTCAATTTATTTTTATTTTAGATGCGCCAGTATCCGAACATCCCAGATGTGACGCTTGTCTCTGGCAGACACTGATTCGCAGATCAGTGTCTGCCAGTGATATCTACTTTCGGATAGTCTTGACTGTAAAGTAGACGCGGACTTCGTTAAGTATTACGTAGAATATAATTGTTGTTCGAGAGAAATTATAAAGATCATCCTATCCGTAGGCATAGAGTAGGCATGTCGATGTGTGGGGGGCTAGGAACGAGGGATGTTGTAAAGTACACAATTGAAGACCTTATTGCTATACACAAATAAGGCATTTTATCATGTAAACATATATAAAAGTAAATTTTTGGAATGTAATGTCTTTTTATGGATAAGCTTTGCATATAATATAGAATCTTTCCCATAACTGTCCCTTATTTTGGTTTACACTAGTGAGATCTTTATAAGAGCCTCGCCGGCCGTATCTCGTCAGGTGTAAAACAACACATCCCATCTACCCTTCCCCCCCCCCCCCCCCCCTTACTCCCTTCGCGGCCGTTCGAAACGGTCCGCAAAATTTTTCTACTTTCCTAACTCTATCCACTTTGTCTTTGAACAAGATCTCATTAATTGTTAATATTGGGTGTTATCATGTAAATTGGTTTAAAATCATTCGCAATCCACAGCACCGCTCACTGTTTATCTGTGTGAGAGAAAGCGAGATAGCAACAGACATAAGTACTATTTTACCACGTTTTTATTAACTCCGGTATGTCTGTTCGGGTGGAATTTAGTAATTGATTTTAAAAGTAACTTTCCGATGAGTTACTTCAGATGAGACCTCAAATTTTGAACATAGCTCAGAAGAATCAGAGGACAATGTTAGAGTATAATAAAAAAAGAGAAGTTTTCACTCTGTATTAAAAAAAAAAGTGGTATAACATATGTATATATTTTTTTCCGATTGACTTATTTGTGGCTCGACTTGGAAAACAAAGGAAGTATAAGTCGCAGCCGAGGTGGGCGTTATGGGTCCAGAAAGTTATTAAGAAGTCCTTTGTAAGCGTAGGTAAGTTTATAAATGTGTATAACATTGTAAGTAAGCGACCACCTCGGTTTTCGACTGGCGATAGCTTGCAACGATTGCCATTTGGTACATGACAGTCATGATAGTATACGAAGGAATATGTTGGATGACCTCAAAACTCAAAAATGGCGATATGACACAAAGCGTCATCAGTCAATGAGGGCATCCACGACTTCAGTTCATTTCTAAGTGGCGCCACTTAGAAATGAACTGAATTATTTGACAGATTTCATAGCGGGGAAGTTAATTTGTTAGAAAAGTAGATTAATGTTTCTTTCTGGAATGTTAGTTGTATTTTATATTATTTAGATTATAAATGGATAAACCAAACTGCGGATATTCCTAAAAAATAGCAAAATTGAAAAAAAAGGTCACGGATTGTGTGTGAAAAATATTAATGAGCAAACCACTGAAGCATTTTTTGTGTATATACGTACACTAGAAACCGACAAACTTTTATTTTAAACACAACTTCACAATTAAATGACATTGTGTAACAAAAAACTTCACCTCGGTCCCAACTAGCGACATCTGGTGAGTGGTAGATTATTAGTCCTAGAATTGAATTGTTGACATCATGATCATTAAAAATAATTATACATGATACAAATTGAATTTTGTACTTAGCAGCGTCTAAAATCTTTTTCGATTTCAATTTTAATTAGATTAGTATTTAACTTTATAGAAATAAGATAATTGTTGGCTTTTAACGTTATTAATTCATAAACCTTATTCTCAGAGAATGTCTGCCGAAAAAATTGTTTTGCCATTTCGTAAAAAGTAATTTTATTGTCTATGACTGTCAAATATTCAATTTAAAAAAGAATCAGGTGACTTGTGTAATTGTATATATGCATCTCTCTCGAACCCAGCATATCAGTGAGACGGACGGTGGAGTTCCGATGGCATGTTAGGCATAACTATTTTTACTGTTCAGTCCCGTTCGCGTAAGTATGTTCGCTAAGATAGTGTCGGTACACCCGGAGGCGAATTATTATTTTACTTTTATTTTATTATTTTTACTGTTTGTTAAACAAATGTTTTTCTATTCCAAGAATAAAATAGACTACTATTTTATTCTTATGTTTATTCTAATAAATACGAATATACATAATAAACACAAGTTAGGTAGCAAATGACAGATGGTTAGAGTTCGCTGTAAATTTCACAGTACGCGAGCAACCCGCTTCCCGGGTTCGATCCCCGCCGCCACCAATTGAATTGTTAATTGCAATTTTAAGTGCTGATTTACCATGTACTGAGCGGTGAAGGAAAAATCCTGAGGAAACCTACATATCTGAGAAACAAGAAAGAAAATTCGAAGACGTGTGAAGTTCGCTAACATGCTTTGGCGCAGCGTGGCGGACTTTTCCTTGCCCTAAAACCCTCTCGAAAATGAGAGGAGGCCTGTGCCCAGCAGTGGGACGTATATAGGTTGTAACTTTAACTTTTTTTTAACTATGTAGAAAAGAATCACAACGGTGCTTCGTTTTCTGCGGGTGTAACTGACCTGCCTGATCCTGCGGGT